TGAATTATGAGTTTTAAGTGTCAAAAAAGCAATATATTATAACAAAACTAATTCTCCAAACAAAAACTACTCAAGACAGGAATTCCTTTGCTATATCTATTGATATTCTAGTTCATAGTATACTAATTTTTTCTCTAAGTAATGTGTAATTATCTTCATATTAAAGTTTAAAACTAACAGATACAGATCAAAAAGTGTCTGAATAAGTATCTATAGATAGTAGTAAGAAATATACGTGTTAATATTTTAAAAAGTTTTCTATTCCTAATATAGAATCTACTCTTAATATAGAGTCTATTCCTAATCAAGCACCCCACAATAACATAAATAAAGATATTCTCTAATCTCATTGGTAAATCTCATCTTTTTCATAATGTTATAATGCTTTCCTAACATAGAACAAGAAGCATACAAATTAAGCTATCAAGTTTCTCAAAACTTTGAAAATAAAGATGAGATTATATATTAGAATGAGTGTGACAGATTACTTACTTTATTTATCTCTATTTATAGACATATCAAATCTCTATGTCAGTTATATCTTCCAATCATAAGAAGAAACTGATAGTCTTATAAAAAATTATGACAAGCAGAGAGGATTTGGTATTACCTGAAAAAGATTGGAGTTACATTCAGAAGGTCATATTAAACATCATAGCTACAAATGCAAATTTAGCAGTCAATATCAATAAAAAAAAAGTTAATATTCACAATCACCATAATTGCAAGTCAAAATGCCAAGAATACGAATAGCATACTAATATTAACTCATCAAGAAATGTCTCACTCATAACTCTCATAATCTTTACCAATATACATAATCACCCACTATATCCTGATGCTCAATCCTATACTCCAATATATTAAAGAATTCCTGAAGATATCCTTGGCAAAATTCAGTTTCTTACTGAAAATAGAAACTTATCAATCAGTGCTCAGAAAAGACTATTGAAGACAAAATTTCCAAATGAGACTATTCTTAACTGTGATCTTTCAAATGTGATACAAAGATTCAAAATTTATATTAATGAAAAGTTAGATGTATTATATCTGCTAATGACACTTCTTGAATACAAATCATATAATTATCAATAGGTTATTAAATTTGAGCTGAATAATAAAAGTTGACTTATCTGCTTATTTTGAATGTTACCAGAGCAGATTGTTCTTTGATTAGAGTATTATAATATTATTTTAAATAACAATACTGTCAAAATCAACTAATATCAAATATCACTTTTACTTTTTCTCGCTATAGATAATAATACTAGATCACATCTTGTGACCCAAGCTCTCATGTTGGATAAAATAACAGAGTCCTATAAATAGATTCTGGATTGCACAAAAAAAGTAATAAAAATCAAGCTATTAGTATTTATTACAGATACAGATTCTGTAGCAGATGCCATTATCAGATAAATATATAAAAATACTTATTCAGTTTACTATATTTTTCATATCAGCAAAAATCTACCCAGAAATCTCAAAGCCAAGCTTCATAATCAATATGAAAACTTTGTTCATGATTTTTTCCTATGCCATAACAGCCTGTGTGAAGAAAGTTTTTATGAATGATGATCATGACTTACCAAAAAGTACTTTAATGTCAAAGATTATCTGATGAGAACACTTTACCATAGCTGACAAGCATAGGTACATGCATTTACATCAAAAATATTCATAGTCAGAATTCAAATTACCTCTTGTGTCAAAGGCCTCAATAGTATTATCAAATATCTATTAATATCAAGCAGCAGTCTGTGTGATCTTGTTGATGTACTAGATATAAGGCTCCAAGACAAAACACAGTGAAATTAATTTTTTGAATACAAGACTATATCATCTTGTATGGGAATTATATCAGTAAATCATGATCTCTTTCCTGAAATCAATAAACAAATATCCAAACTTCTCACCTCCCATATATTATCTACAGAATATCTGGAAATGGCATAATACCTATATTTTATCACAAGTCAAATAAATATTGTAAATAACAATGATAAGATAAATCAAATTAAGGATAAAATTTTTGAAATCATTAAGATAATCTAATATTTTATTAAGTTTAGAATTCTAACCTTGACGTAATAAATGAATTCATTAAGAATTCATATGATGTCAAGCAAATTCTATTGAAATCAATAGTTGTTAAAGTTGGTGAAGAAAATATTCAAGAACTATGGAAAATTGAAGATATGTGATCTGAAAATAACAAATACTCATATTTTGTGATAGTTATTAATTCTATTTCTTATTTGTGTTCATGTATATTTAACATATCTCGTGATATTATCTGTTACCATTATTTTCAGGTGATGATATATTCAAGAGTTGCAGGGTTTTATATTCAAATGATACCTATCTGATAGTATAATGATGAATAAAAAGACAAAGAAATTGTGAATGGTTGCTGTTTTATGAATTAAGAATCAACAAAAAATTAATCAAATGAAATATTGACATCAAATTTATTGACTATATCTAAGTCTGTGATATATATTTTACATTATACGGCATAATGAAAAGTCAAATATGGAGAGATGTGGAGATTGGTATAATACGCAATTCAACTTGCTATTGAACATGATAATTATAGTGAAATGATGGCATGGTTAAAAGAATTTATTGGCCAGCATAAAGAAATAGCAGATACACTTACTAGGTCAGTATGAAACTGGAATCTTCAAGAACCTCTTGCTGATAATGAAAATAAGGAGAATGAATCTGGATCAATTGAAAATCTGTTAGTATCATGATGAAAGGGATACCCAAAACTAAGCGTTATAAATCTGCAACTGAAAAAAAAAGAAAATCACATATATACATCTGTGGTATATGCAGACAAACAGAACATAATAGCGTGACATGTCAAAATTATTAGGTATTTATTCATTTTTTTATTTATTTATTCTCTTTATTTAACTACATAACTCACTATTTAATTTACAAGTTATACATCCAGATTATTACAATTATTTAGTTCCTAACTCCTAACCCTAAAACCCAACTAATAGAATTTAAAATAGACACATGATTATCACGTTATGTATCATAATCAATCAAATAAAAATTTTGAATTTCTGGCCTTAGCCAATCTAATTTTCCAAGATAATTTCTGGAACAGGATGTTCTAATTAGATACACCCAAATAAAAATTATTATAATTAAAATAAAAAATTTAATATACTGACTAAATTCTTTAATAGTATCTTTTTAACTATTAGATAATTAAAAGATATATATTAAAAATAAATTAAAGCTTTTATATGTAAGAAAACTTATAAGAATCTTTATAAATTAAATAAAATATATTTGATTTATTTTAAGTAAAGAATATCTATTATCTATATTTTTCAGACAAGAAAAATATATAATTAATCAGAATATAATTTATTATAATAGAAGAGATAATTAAAAGCAGAATATCAAGATAAAAGATTCAAGAAAAATTATAAGATAAGTATAACTCAAGTATTTTTAAGAATAATTGAATTATTATTATTCAAATATATTTATTTCATATTTAAAAGTAGAGATATTTATATATCTTTAAGATTTTACAGATTTTATTTAAAATCTACTCATAACTTATTTGCTATTCTAGTTTATAATTACAAGTTTTAGAATAAAAGATTAATAAATAAACAAGTAAAATAAAGAAATAAGACAGATATGATAAGTTAAAAGATAATATGAATGACAAAATAAAATAGATATTCTAAAAAGAAAAGATAATAAAGAAAAATAAATAAAATTCATTTTGAAATCATTTTTAAAGTATTTCAAACTGTTGATAAATTATTTGTGAATTATTATTAACTTTTAAGCTATTTATATATTTATGATCTTGAAATATTACAAAATTATTACTGAATTATAACTAAATTCATAATTGATACACTAATTAAATCATTCAAAATTATATACTTTTTAAAAATTAATTGATTGGTTAAAAATCTGAAGTTTAAAAAATTATAAAATTAAAAAAATTTATATTACTATAATAATAATAATTTTTGAATAATAATATCAAGTCTCTTATTCACTGTGAGTTTCTTAATTATAATAATTATAGTTAATAATTTATATGATTTGCTTACTTTATTAGTTATCAATTATTTGATTACTTTTAATTATTTTATTTGATCAATATTCTTAATTTGATATATATAATCTAAAATATTTTTATAATATTTGATTTATACTATTTGTATTATGGCAATATATATTACTTTAATTCTGATATTACACTAATTAGAATTATATTTACTTGTCTTTCTCTTTTTTTTAACTGGAATTTCTATTTTTTATGTACTGAATTTGTAATATTTTAAGAAATAATAAGTATAAATAATTCAAAAATCATTATTAAAAGATTGTTAGTTATTATATTACATCTAGATATTGGATATGAGCAGTCATAATTTTTTACAAAACTTCTTTTCAAATACTTAAAAAAGTTATTAATATTAAAAAGACTCATACATTTTTAATTAATAATTTCTTGCATTAGAAATCTTATTCAAAATATAAATATATGTATATGATGTTATATAGGTGTGAACATATATATGTGTGTGCATGTGTATGTGTATATGAGTTTTTTTTATAGTATTTCTTGTGGCTTAAATATAACTTGAAATATAAGATTTGATTTTTTTTTGTGTTTCTTGCGTGAATGCATTTGCATTTCTTATGTGAATGTATTTCTAAGCTTGTATTATCTACATAATTATTCCTTAACTGATATTCCATCCCCTATTCACCTTATCCTTATTGTTTTTATTCCCCCGCCAACCAACCACTCCAAAAAAATTACTTTGCAATAATGACGAAATATATTGTGTACAGTTGTACAACTTAATCATTAGGTAAATTCAGATTGACATGATCTGGATTTACATAATTCGAATTGACATATAATCCACTACCCCCAAAAATGGACATCAGACGTATGCTTTAACCGCTCCCCTTTTTTTTTTATCAAGCACAAAAAAATGTCTAATTCGCTTGCAAATCAACAAAATCCACTCATAAATTTTCGTCAAACACCAAATTTTTGCACATTAATACTTTCCATAGCAAACATAGATCAAGATTTGCTCCAGATTGATTTTGAGGATGAAAAGGTTCTCTATTTCCTGTCTTTAATTGAATCCTTTATTTAAACTTATATGAATTATGACGATGATAGACCACTATAAAAATACCAGATCTAAGTTTTACAACCACAATTTCACATCCACCAACTGTCTCGCAATCAAATCGGTACTCGACTTCCGCGGAAAATCTTGTAATCTTAATTGAAAAACGCCACAGGAATCGCGAATGGCAGAGTATATTGATTGACAACCACGAAAAGTGGTTTTTGACCGAAGATAATGTAAAAAAATGCGCTAAGTTGGCTGAGTCTGGGTCTAGATGGGTAAGAATAAGGATAAACTGTGTTTTCTTTGTTATCCGATAATTTGATTTATTGTAATTTTACTACTATGCTAAAAAGACCCATGCTGCGATTGCTCCAAAAATCACCTCAATGCGTGCTTTTCACGATCGTGATGGGATACTTGCTCAGATTGAGACAACAATAACAGAACCCAATTCAAATACATAATGGAAAATTTTATTTGTCGTTGCATCATATACTGTTCCGAATAATATCAATTCAAAATTAAAGAATCCTTTGAAAATATTCTTTATTGATTCAATTATTATCAATATTCATACACATATTAGCTGACAAAATTTTTTTACTTAACACAAAACTATAAATGCTTGATTTTTACGATTTTGATCATCCGGTCCGTTTGTTTTGCCAATATAATTTTACCATTCTGATTCATTTATTCATTCATCGGCAAAAATTTCGAGAATTTGAAATATGCCCAGATTCTGCCGTAATCCTGGCTGTTAAACCATTGTAATTTTCAAAATATTACAATCCGGGAGCAGCAATCGAAAGTTTGGATAAATCGATGTCAGGATTTTCACGCGCAAAGTCGTGCATACGAGCTTCAAGTTGTGGTCTAAAGTGTCGGATTAGTCCTTGTACTGGCCAAGCGGCTGCATCGCCCAACGCTTAAAGGATTATTAAATTATCAATATTTTAATAATAATTTTTATAATATTATAGTTATTTAATTTCGAATCCGAAACTAAAAATAACACTTACCACATATCGTATGCCCTTCAATCCCTTTCGATAACTCTTGAAGCTGATCGATTTCGCGTGTAGTTGCATGTCCCTTTACAAATCGTGCCATAATATTATTCAGCCACGTGGTACCTTCACGGCACGGTGTACACTGACCACAACTCTCATGTTTGTAGAAGGCGGATAGTCGTGCAATGGCAGCCACTATGTCGGTAGACTTGTCCATTACTATTACCGCGGCTGTGCCGAGACCTGATTGGACATCTCGGAGTGCGTCAAAGTCCATTCTATAAAATGTAATCAATTATTTAATTAATTCATAAAATTTGGGTCGACAGGTATCGAGAATAAAAATAAAGCGAAAGAACAGTTAATATATGTTATTCTCATAGTCTCAACACTTACAACACGTCCTCACAAATGTGTTTAGGAATAACCGGAACAGATGAACCGCCAGGAATTATCCCTAGCAGATTATCCCATCCACCACGTACTCCACCACAATGTCGTTCAATTAGGTCTCGCAATGGTATACTCATTTCCTCTGTCATAAATTTTTTGGACAGAGTACAGATGTAAATAATTAAAATACAGCAATTTTTGTTTATATTAAAATAATGACGGATAAATACCTTCCACAGTACACGGATTATTCACATGTCCAGAAATACAAAATAATTTAGTTCCGGAATTTCGTTCTCTACCAAAGCTAGCAAACCATGATCCGCCTCTATTTTAACAAAAATAAACTAAGTAAACCATAAACTCCTGTATAACATACTAACAATAAAGAAAAACGGTTTGTAAATTATACATTATAAACTTGATCATTACCGTCGACATATAATCGGTGCAACAGCCACAGTCTCCACGTTCGACACTGTAGTCGGACACCCAAACAATCCCACATCAGCCGGAAAAGGAGGCTTTAACCGTGGTTTTCCTTGTTTGCCCTCAAGGGACTCGATTAACGCTGTTTCTTCGCCGCATATATATGCGCCGGCACCTCGATGCAAGTATACGTCAAAATCATAGCCTGATCCACAAGCGTTTTTTCCAATCAGTCCCTCTGATGTTATAATTATTTTTTTATTATGAACAGTATTGATAATATAACTTAATATCATATAACTTTAGTTGGACATAAACTGTAATCAATGTTTTTATAAAAAATAACAACCAACCAGCATATGCCTCATTGATTGCTTCTTGCATATTTGATGCTTCATTGTAAAATTCACCGCGAATATAAATATAAGCTGGATTTTTAAAAATTAAATATTAAATTTTCCAGTGTCAAATAATAAATATAATTAATACGATAAAATAATTAATAATATACCTGCAGAGGCATTCATTGCTCGACCAGCTATTAAACATCCTTCAACAAGTTTATGAGGGTCACCACGCATAATTTCTCTGTCTTTGCAGGTACCTGGTTCTCCTTCGTCTGCATTAATTACAAGGTACCGAGCTCTAATCAATAACAATGTGATCAATACATATGTACATGTAATCCCACAAACATCAAACTCTTTAATCTAATACTCGAAATTTATTAACTCTAATTACCGGCCATCTGGGGGTTTATTCATAAAACTCCATTTCAAACCAGTTGGGAACCCAGCTCCTCCACGTCCTCTCAGTCCCGAAGTCTTTATC